TCCGGCTCAGTCATTGCGTGCCTGTTTGCATGGTGCCCCTTGCTCGCTTTCTTCATGGGTCTTCATACATCCCACCCTGGGCAGCGTGCCGCCTGCAAAACCCGCTGGTGCCACCTTCGCCGCCTGAGACGCGACTGCCGATTACGAGGAAGAGGAGCCCTGTTCCTCGCACTGCTTTGCTCCCCGGCGGGTGCCGCTGGCCAAGGTCATATCCAGCATGACTTCCCAGAAGGTGAGGCCCACAGTTCTGTGCCGGGCAAGCCTCACCTGGGATCGTTAGTTGATGCTGCGCTACCACTATCCCTGATGCAAGTAAGTGTGTCGGCAACTATACAGCACACCCCTATGCTCACTACAGGGTTGATCCCGCCAGCATCTAACCTCGCTGAACTGTCCCCCCTGGAAGAGGTCGGGTCGAGGCCGCTTACCTTGCGAGAAGCATGTCAGCCCCGGTACGTACGACAAATCGCAATCTTCCACGGGCGGCTTGTATCAGGTCCCGAACCGTCAGTGCTACAGATTGATGCTAGGCTTTTCCGGCCCGCCCTGGACACTGTAGTGCTGCAAGCTTTTGGCTTGGACGCCCGTGCTGCGCATCTCCTCTCTGTTCACTCGGCGCTTGCGGATTTGCCGACGGAGCAGTATGTTCTTCAGGATGCGACTCTGCCATGGAATGTACACACAATCCCAGTTCGGGTGGCAGCCTCACCGGGCCACACCATGTCGGCCAATCTGAACCGGCATTCGACCTGCCGAGACATCGTCCAAGGACTTGCCGCCTCGCTGGGTTACCAGCGTACTCCGGAAGCCGATCTGTGTCATTGTGCTCCCGGATGGTTTGTGGCCGACTCCCAGCCTCTGTTGGTGCCGAGATGTGACACTATTACTTGGACCCCGGCAGCCCGATCTCACCACCAGCGACCCAGACTTCTGGATAGCAACCAACGCATTGACAGCGCAGCCTCGCAGGCTCCTCCTTCCACAGGGCTCGCGTGCATTGTTACCGATCTCGGCATCATTTATGCTGAACTGGACATGCACATTGGTGAACCTGAACAATTCCGCCAGTGGGTTAGGTCCTTCCCTGAACTGCAGCCACTCATTTTCCGCCGACTAAAATATCCGCTGCCGGACCTTCCCCCGTTTCAGTACTTGGCGACAGCCGACGGCGCCCTAGGAGGACATTCCTTGGCGGTTGATCTTCGTGCTCTCGATCTTGGGATCATCGTTGTCGATGCTAACAGATTCTCCACTTGTTGGCAAGTTCTTCACCAGTTGACACAGCTGCATTCGCGCATTCTGCAGCCACAGGCGCTTCTGCAGGCAGTCAATGAGGGCGACACACTTTGCTTCCTACACGACCTTCCGGTCCGACCGCAAGTCCTACTCGACCTCAGCCCATTTGATGTTCTGAGGCTATCTCCGACTCGGCGTCGGGATCCTGAATGTCTCTCAGAAGAGGATGGTTGTAGTGTTGGTGGAGGTGAGGGCAGCGAGGCTCGCAGCGCTGCCCAGTGGCCTGGTACTTGGCTCTCCTCTGTTCCTCGCACCAGCTTGTGCCCTGGGGTGTCTGCCTGGTTCATGGCATGACCTCTCAAGCGGAAGGAGCTCGTGCAGGAAGCGCTCCCCCCCTTCGAGCTGGTCGCATAGCTGTCTCCCATTGGGGGGACTCGCCCGCTCTGCCACGCCTCTTAAGGCCTCCAGTACCACGCACCGGGCCATTCAAAGAGAGCTCCTAACGGCAGGTAGGGTGCTCACCCCCCTCTTGAGCCCCAGCCTATTAGGGAGCGACGATGCAAGGTTGATCTACTTTCGGGTCTGGTTTCCGGGGGGTCAACTACACAGGGCCTTCCTTGCTAAATGCACATGGCAACATATAAGCAGTGCCCTGCTGAGCGAGCCATCGCTTGCCCGATTCCACCGGCTGGTTCCGATCGCCGCGGCACCTGATGACCAGTGCGTGCATCTCACGGTCGCTGCGCCTGAGGGACACAAAGTTAACATTCTGGTTCGGTTGGAGGATAGTGTGGCCTGCGTAGAAGTCGACGCTGCACAGGCAGGGGCTCAGGTCCTTAGCTGGGCTGCAGGGCAACTAGCTTCACCGCCCTTTCGTGTGGACTGCGCCTTTTCCGGCTTTCCCCGCAACGGCGACTCCTGTCTGGTTGTTCCTTCGTCAGCGCATCTGGTGCCAGAGGTTCTGGATGTTAGTGTGGCATCCTTCTTCTTCCGGCCGCATCCACAATTTCGGGGTTTAGAAACACAGGTGTTTCCCCTCATCCAACCAGAGCAGCCCCATTTATGGCTGCACCGTGTCGCAGGTGTATCGGCTAAAGACACTGTGTTGGACCTACTGAACCAAATACAGCCCACTGATGCCGCTCCAGTCACGATTGTAGACCTGCCGCATGCCGAGTTCGGTGTCCTTCACCCGCTCGCTGCCCCTCGTGGTTGCTTGTGCACAGTGGTCTGGCTCTGCGACGACCATGATCCAGCGCAGTTGGGTATTGCATGCTGTCAAAGGTATCTTTTCTAGGAAGGAGGCACTCTTGCTTGCGCTCCAGCAGCTCAATGCCGAACTGGGCCGGCTGTGGCAGCGCGCACCAGACAGCGGTCTGTGTTGGGAGGCTAGGAAGCGAGTTGCTCTGCTGGAAGGGCCTGCCGTGCTTATTGCTGTAGCAAGAGCCGATTGCCGCCAACTCTTGGTCCTTCCCCCGGAGAGATCCCTCAGCTCAGCGCCTATGTATGATAACATGCAACGGTCGGCAGACGAACCATCGCATAGCGTGGTGTCCTCGTGGGAGTCTTCCAGCAACCCTACGGGGTCGCAGGATTGCGTTCTAGTCCCAGGATTGCATGACCCGCATAGCACTCTGCGAGTTGTCTTTTGTGGGTCGGTCCGGGTCACGTGCTTGGTACCCTGCTCCCCCAGTAAGGTGCCATGGGCCCTCATCTTTGGGGAGGTTGTCACTGCGGTCTGCACACGCACCGTCACTTGGCCGAAGTCGCTACTGTGGTCGGACTGACCCCCTTGGACCTGCCAGGCTCGGTGGTTGGTCTGGACCCCCTTTCAGGTGCCGTGGCCCCAACCGCTTACTGCCCTTGCATATCGTTGTGGCACATTCTATCAGGTTGCTCCACATGACATCCCTTCCTCACATCATCGATGCGACGATACCGACCAGCACACCATGTATCCCCCTGCACTGCCAAGAACCGTTGGCCCTGCCAGGGGTAGCACAGCGGCGCATGGGCCTGGGCTGGTATTCGCTTGTATGCTCGGTCTAGGGGGTTACCGTAACCCCGCTCTAGGCACTGGTTTAGGAATCTTGTGTCTAATAAGTGGCGCCCTTGCTATGGCACCTGACCCACGGCCAACCGCAGCTGCATTACACGAGCCGGTATACTCTCCTGTCTTCCGGGATCTCGCCGAGCTTATGCAGGGATGGAGAGCGGTAGCAATGCCCTTGGACACCGTGGTGCGGATTTGGTTGCCGTGCCGCACTCCTCTCACGTTCGCACTTGCTGAGCTCCTCCGTGGCCCAGACTTAGGAGCGCGATTACGGGATCATGGTTTTCGCCCCAATCAGGACCGGTTCTTCTTGGCGTTTGATCGTTGCACCGATGCGCACGACTATGTCTGTGTGCCCCCTGCTTCGGGACCTTGGTGGATCGTTCGGGACCCGATTGGCAGGGAGTCCTTGCGTCCGGTCTGCCTGTTACACCAAACGTCGCCTCCGCAACACGTCACTGTTGACGAAGGTGGTGAAATTTCCTCCCTGATCATCAATGCCAGAACTCGGCTTCATATGCCACTTCCACAAGGCGCTCGCGCGGCCCTCGGGCCACAAGTCGGCAGACTTCTGGGAGCGGTCGGCGCGACAGGAGTAACCTTCCTCAGCGGCGCAGGCAGGTGGCAGCTCTCTGCACTGGCTATGCTCCTGCTCTGCCAGATGGCTTCCGCCACTCCCGGGCTGCGCTTTCCTCGATCTGGCACTAGCATGATTTGGACACTGGGGGTCCCCACACCTGCTGAAGTGCGGGAGGAAGGCCAGACTGTCACGGACGTTCGCTTGCAGCTTACGCGCACTCACACCTCCGTAGCACTTGACAACGATGGGAAGATCCTGCCGTGTGAGCCTGCCACTGTCCAAGGGATACGGCACTGGCTGTATGTGCCGCGGCAAAGAATGCAATCCCATATCTTTGTGCTCTGTCGTTGGCGACGCGCCGCGGCTGTGTTAGAGATCCCGGCGGATAGGTTCGATTGGGAGCACGTCCTTGGATGGGCGACCAGCACCTTTACTTTGCCCCAGGTGGCGCCTCACCAATTTGCACTAGTCTATGATACCTCAGTCATGCGTTATGGCACCCGCGTGCAAGGGATACGTCATGGGCATATCCTAGCGATTGGGATCGCGGTCGAAAGTGGTGCACCCATCTTCGAAAACCCGTGGGGCGAGGAAGAGTCCATCCCTCTTACCTTCCAAAATGATTGGGGTGTTACATTAGACAGAGGTCCCGGGGATATTAGGCCTCTAAGAGCACCTCGCCGGGAGCCGCGCCCGACAGGAGCGGCGCTCCCAGGGTCAGCCGACCTGGAAGCTGAGAGGCACTCGGCTGCATGCCAGACGAATTTGTCCTTCCCACCGGACAATGACACCCTGCTGAGCTGGTCACATGTGGTGAGAGTGCTTTCTCTAAGGACCGGGGGCAACTCATCTCTGCCGGATGGGGCGGTTGAACACGGACACGTTGCAACTGCGTGTGCGAGCGTAAACCCGGCGGCCTCCGATCAGGTCCTTGACTCCTCTGCTCAATCTGGCAGCGGGGCCCTGCAATATATCCTTCTGGCAGGAGTCCTGCGTATTTCTGCCGGTGCGAGGACTTGGGTAGTGCTAGTTGGGGTGCTTCTTGGTGCCCTAGCAGTGGAGTCGGTCCGCATACCCTTGCCGACTATTGGTTCCTTGGACTGCACGCCTTTGCGTCCGGCCACTGCGGAGCAGTATCGTTGGGTACAGCACCGCATCTTCCTGCTATGGCAAACTCGAGCTTGTCAGCTCCCAGGACCTGAGTCGCCTAACTGGCCACGCACAGCCATTGCGATTCGGATTCACCATCCCAGCCTGGAGGACCGCCCCATTGCCGCCGCCATCCTCGCAGGTGACTACTGCTTGGACCAACTCTATTCGGCATTGCAACAGTGGGTAGCCGACACAGGTGTGCGCGCGGTTTGCCCCGTCAGCCCTCAACCAACTTGTGATGCCCTGCACTTTGTCGCTTGTTCGCATAGTCTCGATGTGGTTGGAGTTGTGCTCATTTGGGGCGGACGTCTTTGGGCACGCTTCCTGCCTAGGTTGGTCTCTGAGCTGCGATCATATCACATACAAGGCACGGTCGGTCATGTTGGGCTACCTTGCGGTGCCCAGGGGCCGCTCGGGACCTCGCTTCGTGACGGGGACTGTCTGCCCTTTTGGCCAGGACCGGAGATTCCCGCCGACAGCTCGGATGACGAGGTAGCAGGACTGACGGCAGGTTCGACCAGGCCGGCCCTTGCCGCACGTGACCGCACAGCTCACGGAGGTCTTTTGACAGCCATATCTGGGGCCTTTCTCGCGGGCAGGTCTTTCGCGCTGTTAGCCTCTCTTCTCCTCGGACCAGCCCTTGGCACATCCGCGGTAGCCATGCAGGTCCCGGGGCAGGACCGCATTCTGCACATGTCGTGTCACGCACACGGAGATGTACGCCGACTACCACCCTGCGATGGTCCCGGTCCCATTGGCTTCATTGACCTAGTTGAGGGCCCCCCCAGGCAAATTCTCCACCTGGTCTGGTTTCAGGACTTGCCTGTTGTGTCCCTGCGGACATGTTCTTGTACGAGCCGGGCCATCCTGGAAGGAGCCCTTCTTGCTGATGTCGAAGATCCCCAGGTCCGACTCCGTTTAGATGCAAGTCCCCCGGCCCTCCCTGCAGTCCACTGGAGACTCACTCGGATGCCTCACTCTGAATTTCCGCCTACCCGTTCCGCTGCCTTGACGAGCACGGGCACATGGGGATTGCGGTTGGGACTACTTATCGCGAACCTGGATGGACATGCAGGCCGGCGCGGGCTACTCAGTGTCTTGTCCCTGATCGTCCTCGGGCATGCGATGCTGCAGACCGATCAGGTCTTGGTCCCGGAGCCATACGAGGGACCTATCATCTCGGCTTTCCCGTGGCAACTCTCGAATGCAGAAAGGACCTTTGCGTCTCTGTCGCCGGTGGGCGCCCCTGTTCTCACCCGGCTGCTGAGCCCTTTTCGAGGAGCCCTGGGGATCAGAGTAACCGAGGTTGAATGTACCTGGTCAGAATTTGTACAACGTACGCTCGCGGAAGACATTCCGTGGGCGTCTCAGCTCACCCCTGTATGGCCGGCGATCGAATCCCCTGCTCTCTCTTTGGTTCCGGTCCCTCCGGACCCGCGCCTGGCCTGTGTGGTAATCTCTTCTGAAGAGTGGGATGTCTCCATGTGCCTACCGTCCCCGGTACCTTCCCACTGGTTGCTGGAGGCTGTCAGGCATCAGTCTCCAGGCATGTTCGGACAGTTGTTTCTGCAATGGTGATGTCCTGTTTGCCTCCCCTCTATATGATCGCCGGGGGCCTCGCCGGGGGGGGGCTGTGTCAATTGCTTCTGCTGCCCTGCTCCGAAATGCTGCACTGTGGCAGCGATTTCTTGTGGCGCAAATGGCCTTCGACTGCCATCTATGGGTGCCGTCTGGAACGCGGGTCTGCTCCCTGTCCCCAGGGGTGCAATGGTTGCCAGATGAGGCAACTTTTGACCGGCTGCAGGAAGCGCAGATAGAGGGGCGTTGGGCTCCCTGCCCTTGGTTGCGAGGTCCGGCTATTCACCTGGTCTGCATGTGTGAGGAGTTGGCTTTCGTGCATGTGTTAGTCATGGCCCCGCGTGGTACGCAGTGCCAACGATGGCCACGATACCCTTCACAGCAGGATGTGTCGGCTCGAGTGCGCGGATATGGGATGCTGTCTTGGGTCATTCCTGGCTACACGCACAGCGGGGACTGGCAGCGACCTGAATTAGTTCTCCGTGACGGAGACGTGGTTCAGTCCCATGCCCGCAAACCCCTGCCCCCCGCCCGGGGGGTCGCTAGACGCCACCAAGCTCTTTGGGGCCCCGGTATCCTGGTGGCTAGCTTGCTCTACAGTCCACATAGCCACAAGGGTTGGATGTTAGTGCTACTGGCCCAGTCGATTGCAGCGGTTCAGGTCCCTCCCACTCGATCCCGCAGTCCTGTGCGCAGCTCTGACCTGGTGCATGCCGAGGACGATAGCGTAGTGTGCGCGTCGGCCTTTATGCGGAAACCTCCCATCCGTTCCTGCCCATGCGGCCAGGGCTAGTGGGCGCCAGTGGGTTTAGGGGGCTGCAGCTCTTGCGCCCAGTTGCAGGGCTCAGGAGGTTTGTCATAGGCAGCCTTCGGCGGAAGACTCGGAGGTGCTGGATGTTTTCCGGGATACCTGGCCACCATGGCACTGCCGGCCTACACCGGTATGGCCCGCCCTCACGCGGGAGATTCTACATATGGTACCGTGCCCCCCTGCGCCTCTACTCTGCGTAGTGGTCTGCGGCGCTATACCGGCGTGTGCGTGCCTTCTGCTTCGTGACATGAGTCTACCGCAGGTAGCACAGGCTCTGGGCTTCTCAGAGGTTGTCCCACCACATGCCATCTTGTCGGATGCGAATCCCAGCTTGCGACATGGAGATGTGCTGGTTGCTTTGGATGCAGACCGAACTCGGGCGGACCCTCAGACGCCCACCTTCCTGACCATCGAGCAGGCCCGGCATCATGCCCTCTGGCAACTCCCATTTATAGTTGCCCAAGAAGCGACTGTCAACCTCTGGCAGCCCCGACAACGCCCGTGTACGGCACGGCTGCCGGCGGGGGCTGTCTGGCGTCCAGACTTGTGCTCCTTTCAGGGGTCATGGGAAGGCTCGGGGACGCGATGGACGCCGGTGCCCTGGATACCTAAGCCAGGATGTCACCTTTGCAGCAGGTCGGATAATTCCGATCGTGTTCACGTCTTGCTCATTGAATCCCGCAGCACGGCGCAGCCTTACTGTGCGGTGCGCCCACAGGGGGATATCCCGCCGTGTGCATATGTCATAAGAGGGGGTAATGAAGCGTGCACCAACTTGAGGGACGGCGATGTGGTTGAAGCCCGGCCTGCCGCTGGCGCTGTTGGCCTCCCACGCTCCCTGCACACTTGCCTTCTGCTAGGCCTTCTCCTCCAGCAGAAACCTTCCGTCGCTGTTATCGGCATCTTCCTGTATGGCCTGGGCTCTGTTGCTGCATCTGATGAGGAGGACGATAGCCCGGGATCTCCTCGTTCCAGATCTCCCCGGTGCTCTAGCGAGTCTGCTTCGGCAACCAGATTCGTTCGGCCTCGCACTGTGCGGGTCGGGCTGTTCCACCAACACGGCACCCTATCCTTCAGGCCGCGCCCGACGACTATCGGAGCCTCTCAGTTCTTCGGCCTGCAACTCTTGTGCCCGGTCACCGGGCCTATGCCACCGCTTAAAGTTCCCACCGTCATCACGGATACGGATATGTTTGCCTTTTTCCAGCAGGGCATGCCCCGTTGGGATTCGTCGCTGGTACCTGTCTGGCCTGCGGTAGTCTGAGCACATTGCATTTTGTACCAGCAGCGCCACAACCCCTGGTTACGGTCCTTATCGCCAACCAGGCGCAACCGACTCCGCGCCTGTTGCTCCGATGCTCACCTAAGGCAGTGTGGGAGCGATCTCTAGGGGCGGGTTATACTTACAAAGGGCCAGTGTCCCTGGACCCTACAGCATCTGACTGGGCTGACGTCTATCTCCGCGACGGGGACGTCTTTGTTCAACTAACAGCCGATGCAACCCGAGTGCCGCCTCAGATGCAAGTTCTCTTGACTGCCGATCAGGCCCGGCACCACGCCCTTTGGCAGCGCCCTTTTGTCTTAGCACAGAAGGATGAGATCACGATCTGGCGGCCGGGCCAGGCCCCCATTCAGGTCACGTTGCCGGCGGGCTGTACCTGGCAGCCCAGCAAATCCACATTTGTAGGCAACTGGATCGGGGAGCATGAGCGCTGGGTACCAGTGCCCTGGATACCACAGGAGGGCTTGCACCTTTGCCTGCGCTGCCAACGGCCGCAGCAGGTCCACATTCTGGATCTAGTGAGTCCTGCCGTCTGCAGACGCCGCAGTGCGGATGCGACGTCGTTAGGGGACACCTGCAGAGTTCGAGGAGCGGGCGGAGGTACCACTGTCAACCAATTGAGGGACGGCGATGTCATTGACCACATTCTCCCCTACTCTGAAGGTCGGACAAACAGGGACGGGCACGTCTGGCGGATATCTTTCCTCCTAGGTCCCCTGACCCTGGGATTGCTCTATCCCTCTTGGGCTGTCGTCGCGGGTTTGTCTGTGGTGGCCGTGGTGTCCTTGTATTCCTGCAACTGGAGACTTGATCTGCGGGTTGCCAGATGTAAGGTCCCGTTGACGGCGCCCGCCTTGCGTCCATGTGCAGCGTCAGACAGCAGGGAATTCTCCCCCAAGGCGGGATGGGGACAGGTGCCATCTGGAGGCACACCCTTTTGGGTGCGATGCGTCCCCCGTCTCCTCACCGCCTACTGTATACGCGGATGGCAGTCACCAGTTGACTGCCTTGCTTGGGCCTGGGCGGTACACCCTGGCCACTGTACTATCATGCAGGATGCCCCTCTGCCTGTGCTGGTGGCAGTCGAGCGGCCTTGCCATTTCCAACTGTGGCGGTGCTACCTCTGCCCTAGGGGGGCCCCGTGCCTGCAGTGGCAACAACTCCCAGATCAGTCCTGGCAAGCCGATCTCACCGATGCAGCACGTGTGCAAGAGTACCTGTATCGGCACTGGATCTCGAGGCACTGCAGCAGGCGGCCCTATGGGCAACAGTTTGGATTGACGCCAACCTCGCAGCATGGGGTACTAGGCCGGCGCGCGTCCTGGCAGCTGTTGACAATCAGGCGGCCCTCATGGTAGCGGCGGGGCATGCGCAGGCATTAACCCCGTGGGCGCTCGATGCGCGATATGCCTGGCAGGCTGTCCAGTCAAGGGTTAGCACCGATTTCGTGCATACGCCTGGCCATGCAGGCTTCCTCATCAACGAGTTGGCAGATAGCCTAGCTGGTCTTGCCGCCACTGGGTCCGCGATCACCCCCGCCTTCCCCAGGCCGTTGCCAGAGGCTTGGACTCAGCTATGGCAGACAGGGGCCATGAACCTCTGGCTGGTTCCCTTCGGGACATTAGAGGGGGCTACGGCCATGCACATCTGCATTGGAGGTAATGCGGACTCACTAGAACAAGCTGGGCCGCCGGCCGTTCCAGCCACCTCTCTGCAGCAACCGGACACCCTGTGCCGACTGCCGTTCACGGCTGCCCAGGCCAATGTGCAAACTATCCGCGATGTACTGCCTCACTTCTTTAACCGAACTGGCACTGGGCAGCGTCGTGCCTATCTTTGCCAACTGACCGAACAAGAGATCGATGTGGTCACTCTTCAGGAATGTAGGTCAAGGAGTGGTCGGTGGAAGCTAGGGCATTTCCTGACTTGGCGCTCCGGCGCTGATAAGCAGGGGCAAGCCGGCTGTGAGATATGGATCCGCTCCACCTGGCTTGAGGGAGGCAATGGGCTCGACGACTGGGTGATTGTCCACTCCGAACCCAGATTACTGATCGTGCGATCGCGTCATCTGCAGCCACCGGTTGTTGTTGGGTCCGCACATGCACCCCACGCTGACCGCCCGGAGTCAGAAATTCGTCGCTTCTGGGGGACCATGAGTCAGGCCTTGCGCAAGCTGCACCCTAACTCGGCCGTCTGGATCGGGCTGGATGCCAACGCTGACTTCACCCACGCGGACCCGGAAGGCATTGCTGTTGGGTCCCGAGTCGGGGTACATGAGCCCAGAGTGGGCGAAGATAAGCTTCTGCAGTTGGTCGGAGACTTCCAATTGTGGGCGCCGGCCACATTTGATACTATTCACGCCGGTGCCACTTGGACCTGGCAGCACGCGTCTGGCCTTCGTAAGCGCCTGGACCACTTTCTGGCTACTACTGCAAACTGCGATGTGACATGCACCCAGCAGTATCCTGCGCTCGATATCCTTTGCGGGGCGCGTGACCATATGCCCCTCTGGGCGGTAGGTTCTATCACCTTGCCCACCCAGAATCACAAGCCGGAAGTGTCTCGCATCCCCTCTGCCACAGAAATGCATGACCTTGCACTTAAGCTGTGGCGTCTGCAACCTTCGTGGGCACAGATCATGCACGTTTCCGCCACGCAGCAGTTGGCATGCCTGACAGAGTCCTTCACCCGGGCGCGCAAACATCTTCCTCGCAAGCCTCATGCAGTGCCGACACAGCCGTACCTTAGCCAAGAGGCCTGGCAGGCCCTGCAACGCCTCAAACGCAGCCGGGAGCTCAAAGCGACTTGCCGCAGAGCTGCTCTGAAAGCATGGACCCGGGTGTGCTTCCAGGCCTGGAGGAGAGGCCGCCACGCCAATGGCCAGGTCCGGCTTCAAATATGGCGTAGATATGCCCAGCTGGCTCAACTTGAGCGCCGGCTCAAATCGCTGACTACCAAACTTGCGCGCCGGGACAAGGCGAGACACCTGCACTCATTGCTATCTGGCGCGATCGGCAAGTGGCATTCTACGGGACGGCCTGACCAGGCTCTCCTCCACCTCCGCTGGGCGTCGCGACGTGCTGCTGACCGTCGACGTGTTGCTGCTGCGGGGGGCTATGACATGCAGGATGCCCTGCGGGAACAATTTCGCTCCCAGGAAGCAGGGACAGTCGTCACTCGTGCACAGCTCCAACAACATCACGATGCCTGGCAGGCCAAGCCCTCGGTTGCGTGTCCTGCTGCTGTGCCGACCCTTGCGCAAGCGGAAGCCATTTGCCGCCGACAAAAGGCCAGCAAGGCCCCCGGGCCCGATGGCATCCGCAATGGCCTTTGGCAATCCCAGCCAGCGCTGGCAGGCCGGTGGGTCTGGCTCTTGCAAGCTAAAATGGCCCTGTCGGGCAGGGAGCCAGCTGACTTTAAGGATGCGTTGGCCTGTGCACTTTATAAAAAGGGCCCACCCCACTTGCCGGCTAACTACCGTAGCATTGTCCTCCTCAACGGCACGGCCAAGCTCTGGCATGGTCACCTTCGTAATACCCTTGGCAGACGTGTCGTGGACGCATATCAACCACTGCAACTAGGGGGACGGCCGGGAATGCATGTTGGGTATGCCCTGGCCGCATTTCGGGCGGCTATCGGCCTGTCACAAAGCGCCGGACGCTCGATCCTTGCCCTCTTCGTTGATGTCCAGGCGGCCTTCTATGAGGTCGACCGGGAGCTGCTGTTCGGTGGGTCAGGTGACCGCAGGCCCCAGGCCGAAACCATTCTACCTTGGATTCAGCAACTCCTTGACGAAGGGGCACTCGCTCGACTAGGCGTCCCTGGTGCCGAGATGGCCCTGCTGCAGGACTGCGTGACGGGCTCAAGCTGGCTCTTGCGCGGAGACTCCCTGCCCGTGCTTGCGGCGCGTGGTAGCAGGCCTGGCGACGGACTGGCCGATGTCCTTTTTGGGGCTGTCATGTCTTGCCTCATCCGTGAGCTCAGTCGACGGCTACAGAATGCGGGCGTTGGTCACGGCGCCCTGCAAATTGCACTGGGGGAGCCCGTGGCCACCGTTTGCCCGATCGCCTGGGCAGATGTTGCTTGCGGATGTGGAGAGTGCCGCCGACCTTCCACCAGCAGCCCGCTGCATGAGTAACATTACTCTACAAACCTTCTCTGAGTTTCGCCTTCGGGTCAACTTGGGAGCAGGGAAGACTGAGCTTCTTGTCGACCCGCGAGGTCAAGGGGCCGCTGCAGTCCGGGGGGAGTTGCTCCAGGGGCCGGCATCCCTGTGCCTAGCGGATGGTCAACAGATTCGCATCTGCCCGGAGTATAAATACCTGGGGGTCCCCCAGGTACCTCGGGACACCGGCAGGAGGGATGTGGAGCACTCAGTGTGTCGAGGTCGAATCGCAGAGGTTGCCGCCGGTCCCTTGCTCACCAACGACCATCTGCCTTGGCCACTCCGGGTTGCATGGATTGACGGCCGTCTGCTGCCCTCAGCCTACTCAAGCCTATCCACCATGCTTGCGCCGCACCCGCGGTGCCTCACCCCTCTTGTCGGCTTTCTCGACCGCGTTAGAAGAAAGACGTGGCGCACGTGGCAGAACGCGCATCATGCGACCAATGTTATGATGGAGATTCTCGTGCCTTGCACCTCACCGCCTGAAGGCCTGCATATCGCCAGGACGCGTCTGCTGGTCCAGCTATGCGTATCTGCTCCTGAGCCTGTGTGGGAGATTGTCGAGGCGGCGTATTACCGTGACGTCCCTTGGGTCGCGGCTCTCGTGCGCGCGGCTCAGGATATGGGAAGGGCTGCGAGCCTTGGTTCGAGGTCTCCGAACGTCCGTCCGGCGCCACGCCAGGCCTCTCTTGGCCGCCTGCAAGAGGGTCAGCCGCTCGGGGACTCTGGTGCGAGCCATCAAGGACTTGTGGGTCACGAGGGAAGTCAGAACACATCGGGGCACCATAGGTTCTGCCTGCGACTCTGTTTGCCCGGAATGCCTTCAGGTGCTGCCTTCCAAACGTGCGCTTGCCACCCACCTACACCGCAAGCATGGCCAAGTCTCCGACAGTATGACCATGATCACCGACGCAATCTGCAGGTGGTGTCTCAAAGACTTCCACTCAACGACTCGAGTGAGGTACCACATTGAACATGTGCCGGCCTGCCGCTTCGGGCTCCGTCATGTTGTGGGGCCCCTCTATGAACCAGGGGTCGGAACCAGGCGTAAGGGCACTGCCCGACATTTGCGTGTTCCGCCATTGCAACTGCCTGGGCCTCGCCTGCCCACTCCCTGTGAACGCGCTGCGGCTTACCGCAACGCCGGACGAGCTTGCAGCCGAGCAGCAGGCTTGGACGCAGTTGGAGCAAGACAGAGCCGATCGGGCGGCCCAGGAGCGAGCCGCCCTTCTACGTGATGCGCCCGGGGCCGTCCTGGACAGGGACTGTCACTTTGCCGCACCACCTCCATGCACAAGGGCCTGGTTCATATCCGACCGTGGGGAGCACCCCTCCCCTTTCTGGGAGGGCCTTGCCGCACCTGGCCTATGGAAGGCTGCTGACAGTTGGGCTGCCTTGTGGGAAGTATGGGCCAGAGTTGCCTATGAGCCGTGGTGGTCACGCACGCTTTGGGATGCGTTGGCACGCCTTCGGCTTGAAGCCACTCTGCAATTTCCCTGGGACGAGACGACCATTCGGATCGGATCCAGCAAGGAGGCTTGTACGATAGAGCGTGTGGCCTTCATCAGACATCTTGTCACCATGCGACGTGTGCTGACAGCCTTGGGGCCCTTCGGCGCCTTGTGGTGGATCGGTTCTCCGACCACGGCTGTCCGATCCGTCCTCGCCTCGTGCGCCACTTTGGTCTCCCGTTGGCCTGGCGCTGTGGATCGCTTTCGTGGCTGGTGGTCGAGGCCTGGTGTGATCGCCCGCCCGCTGCAGCTTTCCCCCGTGCACCATGTGCACTGATTTCGCCATGGGCTTGCTTGTACAGTTTGCTCCCCTAGGCCTCCCGTCTCACTTCGGCTGCGGCTAAGATGCCGTTTTTGGCCAGCACCAGCGGACCGCTGAATGCGCAGGAAGGAAGGAAGGTTTAGGGTTCAGGGACTGGAGTTTAGGGTTTAGGAGACGCTTGGGCGATCAGCTCGACCTACTTTCCATGGTCTTGTGGCACTGCGAGACGCAGTGTAGGTGAGGCTCTCAACAAAGGTATCCATCTACTACTGCGCCTGTACCTCTCAACCCTAGGGTCCTCATTTACAAGGGGACCGGAACTGGGGCGTTGGGCATCCTTTCGCAGTTAGTGTTTAGGGCTTAGGGTTTAAGGTTCAGGGTTTAGGGTATACACCCAAATCCCTAAACCCTGCTTCTGCTCCTGTACCTTCACGTTGCCCGCTGAAAAGGGGCAAGAATGTGGACTACAACTGGGCTGGCCATTTGACCCGCTGACAAAGTTTCCAAAATAAGATCCTCTTCAGCCCGAATAACGTCAACCAACAAAAAGCAAAGCCCTACCCGGAACCCTACCCTGTAAAACCCAAGTACGCCCAGTAGACCTTCAAACCTATAACTCCCCGCGAACCCAAAACCCGAAACCCAGCACCACGCTTGGCCTTCGCCACCGCGAAGCCTACAGGCCGAACTGAGTCCCGAGATGACCAGACCTTAGGCGGTCGTGGTCTGGCTCTGTGCTAGAAGTAACCGGCTGCTTGGGGTTTGGGGTTTAGGGTTTAGGGTTTGGAGTTTAGGGTTTAGGGTTGAGGGGTTTAGGGTTTAGGGTTTGAAGTTTAGGGTGCAACAGCCCCAAATATGGAAGAACCCGCTTCCGTCTCAAAGTCTTGGGTGCGCCTGTCAGCGGACTGCCACACCCCAAAGGCTAAACCGTAAATTGCAACGACTCTACACCGAGGGGGCTCATCGCTATGGACAAGGTTGCAGGTATCCCCCCCAAATCCTTAGGGCTTGTGGTTTTGGGGTACAGTTGCGCCGCCTACAATCCAGTGACACCTACCCATGACCCACCCAAGTAGTGCCAGCCAGCAGACAGACCCCCATGAGGCAACACCTGGATAGTTCTTTCTCCAGCCGCCCTGTGAAAGAACCTAAGAACCCTCACAACCCTAGAGAACCTAATAAGAACCCTAAAGAATCGAACCCTACAGAACCCTAAAGAACCCTAAGAACCCGAAAGAACCCGAAAGAACCCTTCAAAGGACCTACGGCTCCAAGCCCCCTTGCGTACCCTCTGCATTGAGCCCGCAGGCTCCCCAGCGGCTGGGGTTTTGGGTTTACGGTTTAGGGTTTAGGGTTGAAGTAACTAGGATGATGACAGCCTTGAAGATTACAAGTGCAAGGAAAGCACTGCGAAGAAGAACAACTAGTGTCATAGCAAGAAGGAAACGAATGCTCTTCCTATAAGTCATCATTGTAACACCAATAAAAAATCATCAAAACACTAGTAACAGCAACATTCTGAATCACAAGAACAAAGAATACACAAGCAAGACTAGGTAATAACAAGGAAGACGGACCGCAGTGACAATCTCGCAGCTGTTGCCCATGTGGGGAGGGCGTCACCCTTCTTCAAAGGTTTAGGGGTTTAGGGGTTTAGGGGTTTAGGGTTTTTAGAAGCGGGGTACTGGGGCCGGAGTCACAGCGACAAACTACGCAGCTCCACTTTTTGGTCTGAGCCCAAGGCGCCTGTCAGTACGGAGTTGTTGTAATGCTCTAAACACGAGTGATTGCACATCTATACAAGCAAACAAGCGCACTCACTCTAGCATCCTAACCTCACGAGGCTCACCCGGTCCCTAATGACAGGGCTTTTCACACCCGTCTTATCGACGGGGGAGCGAGTGAAAGGTCTGTCTACTGCGAGACGTGAAACGTTACTCGGGAGTCGTGTCCTCCCGGACTGCGGCTTCATTTGTTTGCACTGAGAGCCTGGTTGAGGAGTGTCGGTTTCATGCTTTTTGTAAAGCAGTCGGCAAGTTGCAGATGTGTCGGTATCCAGCGGAGTATGTCTCCATTTGGCGCGAACACTTCGCTGGTGGGCGTATCATCGTACCACAGGGCCTGGCGTAGAGCGGCCATCTTGATAGCCAGCCTCTTGTCTTCAACGGGACGTGGCACTGACGAGATCAAGTGGTCTGTGAGTGATCTGCAATCGGAGTACTGCAGATGTAGCATCGTTCTTGGCGCTAACTCACTCCAGCTGTGCAATGACGACAGTTCCCCTTGCAACTCGAGGATGGCTGCGCGGATCCTATCGCCATGTTCAGCTGCGTGCTGCACGCTGTACGCCTCACATTGGAGTGTCGCCCTGCAAACTCTTTTCATCGTGGAACTGCCGAATGCTACCAAATGAAAAACCTATGCTTGAGTGCGTTTGCATCACGGGCAGTCTCTGCATCAGTGAGATAGTGCAGTCTGCCTCTCTGGGACTTGTACCCAGCTTCTGCCGCGAATGAAGATCGAATGAAGCATCACAAAATGTGACTACTGCAACTGCAAGAGGCGCACTGCCCCACGGCAGTGTCTTAGCACGGCACACGAGACTTCGATCCGCATCTCCCAGGGCTAGCGCAACTACTCTGTTGGCCTCCTTCATCGTCTCGACGGTTGCCACCGTGACGCGCTGCTGCAATGCGTTGACACGGTATTTGAGATCGGGCCTAGTAGCTCTGGCTACCCAAGCGAGGGAACCGATGACGGATCGCAACGCTGTTCTCTGTCCCTGTGTGACAGGCGTTGTCATCTTGGCATTCTTTGGTATCTCGAGGGGAGTGATGGCACGTGTGTTGTCTCTTGAGTTGACTTCGATGGTGCCATCGGGGTGTTGGATATACTCCCTTCCGCAAAATCTAAAGCTGCCTTCTGCGATTCGTCCGATCTTGAAGTGATCAAGTAGCTGTTGGATCTTCATCTCACCCTCACCACATGCCGCCCAGAAAAAGTCGTCAACGTGTGTGCACAGCATAGCGCACAAGTTGCCATCCTTGTCATGCGCGTAGTAGAGTGCAGACAAAATCTGGGTTGACTTGAGTCCAATGGCCTTGGTCTCTTCGACTATATGCGAAGGTACAGATTGCGGCCAGCGTCAGTCGTGCCGTACACCGGAACGGATTACTGGGTACCTTGAGGATCAACAAGGGTTCGAGCGGTTTTCCTCGGAAATACGCATTCGTGATGTCGGCAGCCTTGACACGTAGTCCCAGTGAGGACGCCCAAGAGCAAATGAAAGCTAGTGCTTCTGGTTCGGCAGTTGGTGAATCTGCCCTAATGTCTTCTCCAGTTGAGATGTGCTCAAAATTTCCGCAAGCGACTAGTCTAGCCTTGTATTTGGGACGGTACCCGGGCGTACCCTTCAGGTGTTCATGCCTGTCCGTAAGCACCCATTTGGTAGGTACGCATATGTGGCCTTGTCGTAACAACTCTTCCAACTGTTTCTTTGAACAGGGCACGACCGCGTGGAACTGCTGGCACTTCATCCACTCTGCCAACATTGCCTCATCCAGCCCAAGTTGCACCTCGGCCGGACTGTTGTAGTAATCCAAACATGAGGCCAAGTAAGCGGTCGTATCTCCCTCATCATCGGAAGGGCTCATGTCTTCTTCACGCTCACACTCCTTCTGACAGGAGTACTGTGCCTCCAGATGCGAAGCAGTTGGTTGTGGAAATTCTAGCTCTTGCGTCATCTGGAGTTCGTCGGTGTGTAACTTACCCAGATCATTCATGGTGCCTCGTCTTACGCTAACTCCAGTACGTCATGGCGATCAGTGTGATGTCCAAACCAGCACCCGTGATGCTCTTCTAGCGTCGGCCAGAACCGGAGGCGGCCGCTGCCGCCGGGCACCGACGCACACCTGCATTGCCGCGCTGCTCACTCCCCGGGTAGCAGACCCGCTTGACAAACTTGCATCTATTTCCTGTGGCAGTCCACCCGCAAACCTCGCACCGGTACTTGTTGTCACCAAGGTTTTGCACAACATGAAGAGGCTGCCCCTCAGCATGCATGCGCCTGGCAACCACACGCTCCGCCTCTTGGCGCTCAGCAACCTCAGCAGGGTCATTGCTGAAGCGGGTTCGCGTCTCCAGCGGGATCTCTTCGGCGCCCCCTCTGGCCACACGGAGTCTGGCAGCAGCCTGCCGTTCAGGGACGCTTGCCAGGTCCAGCAGAGCAACATCTGGCAGGGCAAGGGGGACCTTGCAGTCCAGAGCGGACTGCTGCTTAGGCCCCTTGCTCTGTCTTTCAAGCTGCTGCAGCCAGCGGAATACTAAGGACGGGCATCGCAGCCTCGGCCGGACCGAGAGGCCCTGCCGGCTGCCCAGGTTGAGATAGCCAGGCCGGCCCTGCATCTCTCTGCCCTCCCAAAGCATGTCACCATAGAGCTGCCCTAGCGCACGAGCAGCGTCTGCAAAGACGCGTGGCTGTTGCCGCAGCGGCGGCGGACCAAGATGCGCACCAACCGCATATGAGACCTGTCCCTGAATTTGCGACGCCGCAACGTGAGGCCACTTCGGCCACCTGGACTTGCCGTCCGCACCCCAAGGCAGCCACATCCTGCTGCTGGCCACAGCATCTAACATGAGCTCCAAAAAGGTGACTTTAAGCTGGCCACAGCCCGGGTTGCGCGGCCATTCTAGCCCGTTGAAGTAGACAAAGAGCAAATCCGCAAAAATTTGCCCATAGCGAAAATTTGACTTAGTCGCATTGCTGGGACTGGTAACCTTGATGCAGAAAGGCAATGTCCGCGGCTGGCATGCCTCAACGGCATGTTCAACTACAGGAGCACGCTGCTGGGTCGCTGGGGCCGCCTCAGCAGGCCGCTCAAAGCCAACAGCCTCAGTAATATCAAGGAACATTTTCTGCACTGTCCAAGTGAACTGCATGCGCTGCTTAGCCTCTCTGCCAGGAACCCTTTAATGTCAGTATGCTTAGCACTTAGCAAGGCCTACTCCTGCAGCGGAGTCTGCAGCGCTGTTTCCACGCGCGTGCTCCGCCGTAGTTTCGCCATTTTCAACATCAGCTGTATAGTGGCACGACCTTTGACATGTCTGCTGCGCACACTATCCGGTGGCCGACTACGCAAGGCAACACTTAAGCGCCACAGAAGATCGCCGTTTTTGAGCAACAGGACCGGCCTAGGTAGCTCCTCAGTCAGAAGGCGGGCGCAGAAAACGTGCAACCGCTTGTAGCATTGACAACAGCATAACCTGCGCGCTGCGCAGAAGGGTCATCAGGCGACGCCCTGGTGGCAGCCCCATCAGTGTAGACGGTCAGCCAGACATCCTCGATGGCAGGCATTTCAGGGTCGACATCTTGAAGCACAGGCAGTGACGCAATCCTATCAGCATCCTCAACTTGTGGACAGATGCCACACATCTGAAGGCAGAGCTGCAGAGCCTGAAAGTCAACCCCGCTCATGCCATGTTTCGTGCGAATACGCTCCCAGGCCGGGCAGAGCCAGTGCCGGTGTACGACAGTTTCCGGCACGCCCCCAGAACAGTGCGGGCTGCCGATGTACGACAGTTTCCGGCACGCCCCCAGAACAGTGCGGGCAGCTCGGAGACTCCACCAAGCTTTGACGAAAAAGCAGGTCCTGGTAGGCACAGCCCCAACCCAGATCGTGTGCAGGAGGCCTTTCTGACGCTGTGAAAGAGT